CCTTTTTTTGCTCCCGATCCGATTCCGATCATTTGATTTTGACAATTTGCCAATACCGATTTTTCCCAATCCGATCTTTATGCAATGCATTAAGAGAAAAAAAAGAAAAAAGCATTCAAGTTGTCCCTTAAGGTTATTTTTTTTAATTTAAATTGGATATTCTATCCAACATGGATATAGCTTCTTTTTTTCACAGCAGCATTGGATCAGTTCAGTTGTGCAGCATTGGATCAAAACAAAATCAAGCTTGTCAGTACTCATTAGCTTACTGCTACAATTAGACACTGCGCCCTGCCCACTCTGTTGCCAGATTTGAGAGAAATAAGCAACCAGGTCTATGAAAACAAGCCCCAAAGAAGCAACACATACATGATGTTGTGTAATTTGAAACCAAAACTAAGGCCTCAGGATGACTTTAAGACTTGAACATGGTCATTTTTGTTTTGTAACATTGAATACAAAAACAAAAAAAAGTATTTATTAAAAAAAAAAAATTTTAAATCCCGATCCCCGATTTTTTTCTCCCGATTCCGATCTTTTGAAAATCACGTGATCGGGGATCGGAGCCAATCACGTCATTTTCAAATCATCGGATCATCTCTACAGAGAATGTCTTATTCTTATCAAAGATGCAGACATTTGCCAAAGCGGCAAAGCCCTGAATAAGTACAAACAAAGCCAATGTGATAACTGAACACAATTAAACTTTTATTTAACTATCCAGTTTTGTCTAGTTTTCCTTTGAAAGCATCGCTCAGTAGAGTCAACAATAAGAGACGTGACGTTAACACTGTACTCACTTTACTGCTGTTCAACAAGAATACCCTTGAAATGTGTCCTGAAATGAAGTAAGAGAAAAAAGCATGGCCTTGCCTGAAGAAGTGTTTCTCTCTCTCTACTCTACTGAGTCACCACATAAACAGAGAACAGACTGACTGCAATAATCATAGAATTCCCATTAGATCTAGTATCTACTTATTGAAGTAATCAAATATTAACAAAGGAAATAAATGATAGTTTCCCAACAGTTTCACTGCATCTTAATAAACAACAACTATCTCTCCCAACTTTTAGGAGTAGAATGCCAAGGAGTGGTACATGGCAAGCTTTACAGTATTTTTTTGTGAAGGTATATTTTGAAACCTACAGCAACTCAAAGTTTTCTTGAAAAATCCAATCCCACACACTTTTCCAAAGAATAACCTTTTAATGAACAAAATAAATGAAAGGAAGAAAAGGAAAAAGCAGCAGCTTGTTTTCTTAGTTTCGCTATGTCTCCAAATAAGCAGGGAGGGGTCAAGTAAGCAGATGCTTGGCCATTCTTTTATGACAAATACCTAACAGGCACCCACTCCTGTCTGAGCCTGGCAATGGCTCTATAGATATTTTTCATGTCAAACAAATGGATTTGAACTCCTTGTTATTGTCACACTAATGCATAAAGAAAAAGGTTTATTTTGCTGAAATAGCCTTTTCCTGTTTGGCTACATTCTCAGCAGTAGCCTGCACACACTAGTACACTCCAGTGAGTCTTTCCCCTAGGGTAAGGAGTGTTTTTTGTGAGGCTGTCAAATATAGGCTGTAAAGAGCTGGTGAATTTCATCAGCACTGACCAAAGCCTTGTAACCATTAATGAGTCCCCACAGAGGGAAGTTCACCTTTGGCTGGCCGACACTATTTTCTGCCCACAACCTCTACTGGTAATTCATTCATCTCAAACAAGACTGAATTATGTAGTGACAAGAACTGTATGGATATTTACATAATGTATGCATGTTCCAGAAGAAGTTGGCCTATAGGTGAGGAAAGTTTTTTGGCAGTTTTCACATCCAATTATCATTTTTAAAAGCCTGTTTGAATATCACACACAAACAACGTGGTTGATCTAAAACCACTGTGGTAACATGTTAGTGTTCTTGCAACAAATAATTCATTTTACCACAAAGTATAATTGCAGTTTTTGTTGATGCACACACAAAACTGTACCTCAGTTTGGCTGAAAAACTCACATTCAACCAACGTTTTCCATACCGCAAACAAAAACATAGACTAATAACAGCAATGTTTATATTAACAAATAATAATGACACCTTGTGTCTGACTGAGGTTTTCTAGGCCTCTATTCTATTATTTACATACAATGTTCACTTCAGACATGCTAAACTTTGCCGACTTGTTTTGCTGTGACAGCCCACTGCCCAAAATGACACACCACATAGGATTAAAAATGGTGTAAGCCTAAGTGAAGTCTTCAAAGTTCAATTATTCTTTCAGACCAGAGGGAAAACAACATCATAGTATCAGTGCTGGTGCTTGGATAAAAGAGGCCCAGAAACTAAATAATCTTTATATGGGCCATTCTACCGAATTGGTGCAAAGTCAGGTTGGAACAGTTTTGAAATTGTGTATGTTCTTTTCCCAAAACTTTGTCCATATATATTTTGTACCATATATACTGTAAATCACACATATCTAGTAAAATAACCGTACATTTTTATATCGTATTTTCATACTGTATTGGAATGTTCTTCCTCTACCAAAAATGGTCACTACCGAAACATAGTACATACTCTGTAGTAAAACAGTATGATATTAACCTGTTAAGATTGTTTTACCTTCCCTTCTCTAAATAGTATTTTAACAAATATTTCTTGAGGGTTTTCACAATTAAATTAATGCAATAAAAATCACAATGCAATTTTTCTTTGTAAAAAGCATAATACTGGTCATATTGATTCCAGAGTTGATGATTGTTGAAATTGAAATAAAAAAATAAACCAATCAGTATCATATCGTTTTACTTGATTAGTCAATATACTTAATTTTTTACAAAACATCCAGTGTTTCGGTAGTGACCACAGTATTTTATCATCTTCCTTCAACCTTATTGCTGAATCTTAACTCATAACATGCCTTATGTTGAAGTGTGAATGTTCGAAGCTACTGACCCCCGAATCAGCACTTTAGTAACAGGCTGAAATAGAGGGATATGAGGCTAGAATGGGTAATCTGTTTGGTATTTTGAGCAAAAGACTTCATAGACATGTTTTTTATATATCTGAGACCTATAATATATGCCTAAAAATAGTATAATAAGATACCTTTAAAGTAACATACTGATTTTCAGACTTAAAAACACATTTATTTCAAAACTATGGGATTTACCTGCTTTCCATTCCATTTTGTCACTAACAAAACGATCATGTCAATTCAGGTTCAGGATATTTATTTCGTACCAGTAGGTAGATTCTGTTTGCAGAGAAAAAGACAAGGGTTCCACCCTGACACTAAAAACAAACACAAACAACAGACACACCTCTAATAAAAGGACTAGTAAAAGTACAAGTACACCCTGCTCAACCAAATCTCAAAATATTTAAAAAACATTTTAAGAAGGAAAACACAAGTACAAACATGGACATTCAAAATTAAATACAAATAGGCATCTGTGTGACGCTCCTACTGTATGATTTGTTAATTTGTGAAATAGCTGCTGGGATAAAACTGTTTTTATACCGCTTCGTTCTACTCCTTGGGACAAGTAACCTCCGGCCCGAAGGAAGAAGCTTAAATTCTGAGTGCAGAGGGTGGGAGTCATCATCTAATATGGAGCTGGATAACCGCTTTAACTGCCTGAGGTACAGGGTCTCCAGGTTTAGCTGTGGCTCACCAATCAGTCTGCTGGACCACTTCATGATCTGACTCAGAGAGTTTCTGCTCTTTAAAGTCAGGTTACCAAACCATGACATTAGTGAAAAAGACAGAATTTACTCGATAAAAGCACGATAAAACATGATCATCATGGTTTTGTCAATGTTAAAATAGGACATTCCTAAGACAGTACAAACGCTGGTGCCCCTTTTTGCACACAGCATCACAGTTTGGATCAGAGCTCAATTTTGAGTCTGATTCTGGATTGTTAAGACTTCATGTATTCATGTATGTGGGGATGTCTTCTAAAAACAATGATCATGTCCTTGGTTTTGCTTATGTTCAGTTGTAGATAGGACTCCTCACACCACCTGACAAAGTTGTCAATGACAGGGCCGTGGCTGGTCCCATTGTCCTGGAGCCTACTAACAATTACAGAGTCATCTGCATACTGATCAAAGACTATATAACTACTTATATATAATATAGAGAGGTTTACACACATAAAAACACAATACTTTGCATAAAACTCCGAAAAAGTTTACTTAATTGAAGATAAGTGTTCGGTAGTGACAATTCTTAAGGTTACACGCCGATTTTCAGATTTTGGAACAGATGTATATCAAAAGTATGGGATATAGCTCATACAGTCTATGAAGCCATTCAGCCATGAGGGACAGGGATGCAGTGGCTAGGCAGTGTGGCCTAAAAACCAGGCTCAGCCATTGGACTAAAACCCCTTGTGTTTCGGTAGTGACATGAAAACTGGGGACATGATTTTTTTTTAGTATAGTTTTTTATTAAAAGATTAAACCCACAATAAATCTAAATATTCCAACTTCTGTTTGAATGTAATCATAAAGATCTTCTAATTACACCATCGAACAAAATAAAATAAAAATGTTTTAAGTGTTATTTACAGAAATTGAAATTGAAATGTCAGGGTTGGGGACAGCTACTTCCCAATGGAAAGTACCCTATAGCCTACATGATGTTTTTGCTTATCACTATCTAATTGAATGCCTTGTGTTTAAATAGACCATAACATATTCTTAGTAAATATCTATCTCTGAATACTTAATTGTTTTGTTAAATAGATTTTCTTGTTGTGGGACCGCACTAATTCGGTACAATGCCCCATATGCCAAAACGTTGTCAAGGGCCAAAATATCACGTTTGTAATCGTTGGTAATGTAGGCCTCGTCGTGTAAACAGATAGTCAGCTCCGACAGAAAAGCTAGGCCCACACTTTGGGTGTGTAGTAAAACGGTGTGTCTCTCTATTGTACAGAATAATTTTCATATTCATTAGCACAAAGAAGTTTAATTTCAAACTTGATAAGAACTTACGTTGTATTCATATCGGGCGGAATGCATCTTCCAAAAGCGACCCCCCCACTGAAGTCCAACAGGATCAGCTTTACCTTCACACCAGTGTTGTAATGAATAATAGATGTGTAGCTTATTCTTTATAAAAATTACTATATTATCACTTCGTTAAGGTTAAATCCAAATGTCAGCAGGTCTTCTTGTATCGTCACGAAGCACCTGAGACAGAGCTCTTCCGCACACACCTTTGAAGGGAATAAACCACGCCCCTAAATACCTCCTGTATGTGCAGTGTAGCCGTTTGTGGGCGAAACCAATTCAAAGAACTTCAAGACCATGCTGTCACTGCACCTAATAATTACCTATGACTCTTAACCCACATGTTTATTCAAACACCTGCTTCTACCCCGTTTGGTGTGGTCCATTTGCGGATGTTGTCGCAAAGAACTGGGGGAAATAAATCCCGGTTAATAGTTTGAAAGCATTCAAGCAAGGCAAATGGGAGAAAAGGCTTGAGGTGAGCTCTCACATCGTGTGTGTTTTATTGTTTTTGTAGAATATTTTTTCTTTAAAATATGCAGACCTACATTATAAATGTATAGGCCTAATGTGTACATAAACATAAGGAGTGTATAGGCCTAGACTATATCACAGAGCAATAATCAATCCCAATATGCCTAAAAAATGTGTAACCTTAAGATCATTATGGGGGATGATGTGGACGGGTTTTTGGATGCAATTTTAAGTAACAGTTTGCTTCGTTTCCTAGCTGTAACCACTGTGTGACCATGTATACGCATTTTATAAATTATATTAGATTTATTTATTCAAGGTGTTAACTTTGTAGGAATTTCTTTTTGATTATTCATACATTTTAGTTTTTTTTATAAGAATGAAGGCGTGTTTTTTTTTTTTTTTAAATAACCTGATTCAAACTTTTTGTATGGAAAATATATCAGACAAAAAAGAAGGTAAATGGTTTACTTTTAGACCACTACATTTATTTAATATCTTTAGTTACTTTGCAGATTTAGATTAATGATGTGAAATATAATCAACTCATTAGTTCCACCTGGAGTAAATTCACAAGCTACGCTGCAGTATACAAAGTCATTAAAACTAGCTGCACCTTTACCAGCTGTGATAAACACTTTAATGCATACAATAAGTATAATAAAAACATGTAGCCCAACATTATTCGGAAATGGGCCAATCTACATATTGAGTAGGCTACTTTTACTGTTTGTAGGCAGTGGCGGCGCCAGAGATTTTCTCTAGGGGGTGCTGTGGGGTAGCTTGACGTTTCATAGAGGGTGCTCAAACTTTAAGGGTTTCCCATTAATGCACCAGCGCTACAGTTGAATTTTCTACTGCAACTCATACTTGTTAACCCTCCCGATTTTCGCGGGAGACTCCCGATTTCATTGCCCTCTCCCGGTTTCCTCCTGGGGTCATATTTCTCCCGCATTTCTCCCGATTTCTGACTAAATCAGATTTACTCAGGACTGTTTCCACTCGGACTTTATTACAGCTACACCATTGTTTGGTTTCCATGGTAACACGTCTCTTTAGTAGCGCGCGCAACTGAAAGTCTGACAGGGTGAGGCAGATAGTCACAGAAAACAAAAAAAAAATCGACAACTACTCTACTCTCTGCTCACTCCTTGCCTGCCCACACATATGCTCCATCAAGGATGGTGCTACAGGCCGCAAGGCAGTGCACTTAGAACTACAATATAAGCATGTTAATTACAATATAAGCATGTTAATGCTTATATTGTAGATAACTAGGCTAACTAGGCTAAAGTTAACTATCTAAACACTGAGAGTCCTTTACTCCACCTGAGCTGAGGTTATTTGAGACTCTCAGTCTGACAGGAGAGAGTTCTCCCTCCACTTTGTTGTTGAAAAAGCTCCTTATATCCGTTAGCTTGATGCTAACCACAACGATCTCCGGTAGAGACCCACCGAATAGGCTCGTGCCACACACAGAGCAGAGCTTGAATGAAACACAGAGAGCCAGAAGTAAGCTACTTGTACTCACGAGGCCTATTATGTGCAGAATCCCTCTCGCTTTCAGGTGGTTTTGATTGAGTGTCCACACGTGGACGTTTAAGGACTAAAAAACGATCCATTTGTCACTTTGCTGTTAGCAAATAATTTGGCGCTCCAGCTAACAGGAAGTCACTAAAGTGTNAATCCTTTCGATAACTTAATGGAAGTTACCCGCTTTACACCCTTTGTTTTTGTCTACAACTGGTTTTTCGTATTTCGGTTCGTGTCCCACTATTCCCGGCTTCCGGTCTGGGTAATCTAAAACTGGATAGGGTAATCCGATTTAATCGCAAACACTGTGAAAACTACAATTCATCACGTATGGGAATGAGCACATCGTATAATCATTGTTTTTCACATAGAGCGTCCACGGTGTTCTACATAAACGATTGTCGGTATTTCACTAAGATGTGTTTTACTTCTAGTCGCATGAAAATGAGGGGTGGAAAAATATACCCGAGGTCATCAGGAATAATTGCAGGTGCACACCCTGTTGGATGTTAGTTTTTGGGTGGACTTTTCGATTTCTCTTTTGCTAAAGTACGTGGTAATTTATCTGTAGCATCTTTGGGCATGGTGTTCATTTCAGAGAATCCTTAAGACCGAAAGAGCACACAAAAGTAAGTTCGAGGACTGAGACCACACAGAAACCCCCTCCTAACACTAACACACACCGTGCTCGGTAAACACGCACGCGACGGGTAATTAAAAAATTAAAAAAATTCGAAAAAAACATATATTTCTTGGGGGTGCTTAGGGGGTGCTTTGGCAATCCTGGGGGGTGCTTCAGCACCCCCTAGCTCCCCCCTGGCGCCACCCCTGTTTGTAGGCTACTTTAAGTAGCCTATTTGTATGCCAATGCTTTTGTACTTTTACTTGAGGAGCATTTTTGAATGAAACCTCCTGGATGAGGTCTTCCTACAGTAAGTCTGCTTGCTGTTAATGTTATATGTAAACCCACACATTAAAACTGTCAGTAATGTCTATTGGTATTCTATTTTCAGGGGGATCTTCCCTCAAACTGACGCTGTAATTCTGTGCAGTCTTCACATACACCACCAGATGTCCCCCTTTACCAAGCCACCGTGAGGACACCATAAGTAAACTCTGTGATAAATACCCGCAGAAAGAGGGCTTGGTTCTGTCAGGCTTCATCCTCATAATATCCCAGGCTGCCATTGGAGAACCCGTTGGCGAGAGTGAGCAGGACGCAGACGCAGGAGATATCGCAGGAAGGCGCCCGACGAACGCAGTGTCCATCACTTCAGCTGATGTAACCAGACAGCTTATGGTGGAGGCAGTTATTTAACATTTAACTTCGTTATAACAAATATAAAAGAAAGCGAGAAAATGGGACATACCGCAATACCAATATTAATGGCTGTATTGTCCTACTGCGTGCTGGACAACGTCGAGGTAAGAGCAACACAATCTGAACCATTTGTACCAATGGCACAATGTAATCTTGCCTTCTGTTAAGCTGAATGTCGATGTGACTTTTTTTATAAAATGATGCGTTATCATAGTTAATGTCGCCATTACACATGCAAAGCATAGGCTACAGCTGCCTCTATCTCCTTATTGCTGACACGCACCCTTATCAATCTAGGGCATGTTTAATTTGTAAATGCATCCTCTGGCTCCGTCCTATGTCAACAAGAGTAATGGCACGCAACGTCCACCAAAAGGCAGTGATAGAGAGAGGATTTACAAATGCAAATGCTGCAGTAAAATATAAATGATAGCCGGAATTCAGGTCGTAAATATAAAAGGCTTTATGAAGATGTGGTTTACAGTGTATTCGGTTTGCTGCGTCAAGTCGGGGCCTGTATCAGATATGGAAAAAATGTCACTCAGGCTTTTCTGTTTGGAAGGATGGAAATCAAATCCCATCTCATTGCGTCCCATCTGGCCTTGTCAGAGAGAAAGGAATCAGCTTGCATCCGTCCTTTTTAGAGGAGTGGTGCAGCTCTTCAGCAGGATGGAGTCATGCATATTCAATTGCTTTTCTGTGTTAAATTTTTGGTTTTGATGGCAAATCACTGAATAGATAAGAAAAAAGTGTTCTTAGATTTTCGGTGGATCATGTTCTTTCATAAAGGCCTACCTCTATTTCTAAATATCCGAATAAACTGATCATCGAAGAGGGGCTGACATTGATATATCATTGGACATAGAGTGCAATACAGAGTATTCTAGTGCGAGATGTGGAGTCATTCTATTGGCATCTGTCTCCATCAATATGTAGAGAAGAGATAGTGAAAGTCTCTGTTAGAGAACGACAGCTGCTTCCACCTTCCCACTGTCTTATCAGCAGACACGCAGTTTGATGGACTTTCATTTTCAATAACTACTCCATCACCCATCATCTCATTCCTGTAATAGACCTGAGGCATTAATTCAGGTTGGAGCATGGACATTTGTGTGTAGAAACAGGGTGGTGTTTGGAGGTGAGTGTGGATGGTATGGGGGAGGGAGGGGGGGAGGATGAGTCATGATGTCCCAGCTGGAGCTGTGGTTCAGGTCAGACATACTTTTCCACCTGGAAATTAAGAGTGAATGAAGCTACAGTCAGAGGTAGATAACTGAGCATCCTGTCTGTTGGTTCAGAGTCTGCCCAAGTTCCTAAGAGGATTTGTGAGATGTTTATTTATTAGCCATCTTCCACAGTGATTCTGCAACACTCATAAAGCCTCTCCTTTCATTTTGAAATAATTTCACTTCTCTAAGAGCCTTAGTGGGATTACTGCTATGCTGAGGAACAGGCTTTAGCTTCATACAAGGAGACCTGCCCATGAAGGTTTACATTGAAGATTACTCTGAGAGGGTTGGCTGGCTGGATTACACTGTGGTATTAGCCCCAATAAAACTGTCAGCCTCCCCTAATTTACTCAACATTTATTCAGATGGAAATGTGCAAATTGGATACATTTGTTTTGATCTCTCTTTAATAGTGTTACATTTATATGTGTCAGTGCACTGGGATAATCAGAATATAATCAAATTACACTTCCATTCAGTGTTCTGAATTATAAAGCCATGATCATTTATTAACTGAAATACATATCAAGCATCATACTGTGTTCTGATTGGTTGGATACATTGATGCTAAGTTGTCACATATGTCACTCAAGTCCTATTTGGGCTTCCTAGGTGTGTCAGCTGCGAGTATTTTA